AAAAAAAAAAAACAAAAAATAAAATAATTAATATGCAACGTTAATGATTTCAGACTAATATAAGCAAACATGAAGTAAAAATGTCAAAAAAACGATCGCATTTAATTGATAAAAGTTATAGTTTTATAAATGATCAATCTAAAGAATTCTCTGTACGATCGCAAAATAAAAAACAAATATTAGTATTTCCTTCGTCAATTTCTGATTTGCCTTTGACTTCATTTTCTAAATATCAATCTTTTTCCAATAAAAATATAGCTAAATCGAATAAATTGAAGAAAAATGATAAAACTAATGGAAAATTATCAATTGATGGCATTAATAATATTTTGTCAAATCTTTCAAAGACAAATAATAATAAAAAATTAAAATTACATAAACCGAAGAATGTTATTTATACATCACAATATGATTCTAATCGGACTAAATGTTTTTCCCCAAGTTCTAGCGAGAAGATATCTGAAAACAATATTTTAAATAATTCAATTATATCTAACGATACTTCAAATATTTCATTAAGTACTACAGCTATAACAACAACAATGAAGAATGACAGAACTGAAAAACAATGTTTCTTTGATCCTTATTGTGATTCTGTTTTAAGAAATGTTGGTGTAACCATAAGAGATACAATTTCTAATACTATTATTAATCAAAGAGAAGAATCACAATATCCAATGAAATGCATTGAATCGAATGCCTTTAAAGAAATTCGGTGTTCAATGTTTCATCCCCCAACATCGGACAATTTTTCAGAAACAAATGAGACAGATGTAATAGAAAATATGCATAAAAAAATTTTATCTACGCGTAATTTTGAAAATAATTCTCGGGAAAATATTGATTATTCAATTCTATCATTTCTTACAAAAAATCGATCTCGACTTCAAAATGATACAGATTTGCACAAAAATGATCATCATTCTTGTAAAATAAAATATTCGTGGCAGGTGATTGGTACAGGTTCACAAACGTCACAAACACTTTTGGACAGTTTAGTTAAAGAAAATACTCTTGTCGATGATGAACCAATTTGTAATTGCAGTATTAAATATTCTTGGCAAATCATTGGAATTGCTACACAAACTGCTCCAAGTGATTTCACTACGTCAGAATGTCGTTCCGCTATTTCACTTTTATCTGCGAAAACGAATACAATTCATCATACTAACAAAGAAACTTATACATTACCAACTGCTACAGTTTGGCGAAAAGGTAAAAGATATATTATCTTAAACAATCAATGTTTGCAAACATCTGCTCATAAAGAAAGTCAAACAATTTTTACAGAACTGTATGAAAAATATCACGATTAAAAAACTTTCGTTTATATCGACTCGCGTTTATATCAAAAATATAAATAAAAATGAATATATGAAAAACATAAACAATATTATGTTTAATATTGTAAATCTTATTCAATTTTTATTACATAATTTTTAAAATTGAACAAAAGATTATTCATTTCATTTTAGTTTCTATACGTACAGTAAGTATTTCATATTAAAAAAGTGATATATTTTTTTGTTCGAGATTAAGAATTTTATATTCATCTGTATACTTCAATTAGTTGTAGTGTATGATAATTCAAATATGAAAAACCTGCAATTATATAAAGATAGCAATATAGTTCTAAAATTTATACGAATACTTAGAATTATTATGATAAAAACGATAATAAAGATATACATGTTTCTAATTTTCATGTTAATACTTTCATAGATCATTAATATTATGCAAGAAAGTGTTTAATAACATACAATGTCAATTGACAAAAATGTAAATACGCATCTTATTTTATTTATTATTGCCAAATGTTATCCAGAACATCCTCTACATCCACAATGAATACATTCCACTATTCTGCCTTCTTCAAGTTTGCCTTTAGGTACTCGACAAATACAATTTGTGCCAAAATTAGTGTCTCTGGTTTGTATACAACGTAAACAACATAAGTTTTCATATCCCACCTTTTTCCACTTAGCTATCAAATTCTTATCTGCTATATTTTCATTCAGGCAATAATCATATAATTCTGAAAAAAATAATAATTAATGAATGAAATAAATTAAAATAAAAATAAATTGAAATAAATTAGAAAATAATCTATATATTTTTTACCACGACTTATAGCTTTCCGTCTATAATACAAATCATATATATATCGTGATTTTTGATGATGTATTTTAAATATAGGCCATAAAGATTCTTGTTTGCGTTTGCCTTCATGAGGTTCTGTTTCAGCTGAAATCCAAATATAAAACAATTCAAATTAAAAAATTGTATAAGATAAAAATATTTCATTTCTAACCTAATCTTCTAACTATAACCTTTACTTCTTTTTTATCATTATTATTACCTTCTCGCATTTTCTGTTCTAATTCTTCTAATGTTGGTTCAATTAATTCCCAACCATCCGGCGGAGGTTTTTTACTTCTACGTACTTTTGGCATTTTTAATTTACAAGAAAATAATAAATAACTTTTCAAGAAAATACAGCGTCAGCAATGTTATGTATGGACACAATAAAATTGAAAATGTAAACACTAGTGTCACTGCATGTACAAAAATCAAATTTAGATATATA